TGAAGATAATATTAAAAAATCAAAGATTGCAAGCTGTTTTTAGAATAAAAAAAGGTAAAATATGGGAAAAATAAAATATTGCTACAAAAATATAGTAAATGGAGTAAATAGACAAAACTGAAAAATATAATCAAATGTCCAACCCCTTAGCCGCAAATACATGCACAATCAAATTCAATACCTCAACCAAGTCGGCCCTCATGGGCAAAGATAGTGGATGGGCCGTATCGATAGAGCAAGAGAAGAGAAAAAAATAAAAACAATATTAATAAGGAAAGAAATAGATAAATGGTAGGAAAATATTAGTATATATGAACACTTTAAAATCAAATTGAATGACCAATCCTTAGCCACAAATAAGTAGTAAAATCAAATTCTAGGCCCCACAAGAAATTGGATGATATCGGTAGCACAAGAAAGTAGTACACGAGGTCAAAATTAAAAGCATGAAGAAAAGCATGACCATAGAGGAAAATATTAGTACGTAGACAAAAATGATAAAAAAAATCTAATTAAATGTCCAAGTTCTTAGCCAGAAATAAGTAGTACAACCAAATTCAAAGCAATATCATCCCCCAAGGTAGGGCAAAAAAATCGGATGAACATATTGATAGCGTAGGAGAATAGAACAAAAGATGAAAGTCAAAAGGAAAAAAATGATTCATTAGTAGTTAAATATTATTAAATAGACAAAAGAAAATTCTGATGAAATGCCAAGTTGATGGAGGGCAACTTTTATCAAATGAATTAGGTGGAACTTTGACAGTTGAGATAATCCAAAAGTCCAGCAAAAATAAAGCGTATGAAACTAGATTAAGTAATTTATAATCGAAACAATAACCACAGCTTGAAAGAGTTCTGCGATTGTCAAAAAACTGACGCACAACATCGTTTGGCCGGTGATAATTAACGCAAACCACACTAATAAACACTATGTCTCACTTGAGGCATCAAATTTTCCCAGATTAAATAATTGCACAACGGGAAGAAATTACAAATACATAAGCAATTATCAAATAAAATTATGTCATTGACAATAAACTATCAGTACATTGAAGAACCAAAACCTAATCCAATAATTGATAACAAACCCTTTAGCCACAAACATGCAGCAGAAGCAAATTCAACACCTAAACCAAGTTGTTTGTTAACCGAAGTAGGACAAAAGAATATGAGGTTCCATATTTCAACCACATGACAGGGGAACAAAGGAACAAGAAATATCAAAGCCCAAACAAGGTCGCCTCCAATGTAAGGAAAACAAATCGGATGAACCCTATTGAGAGCACAGGAGAATGAAATAAGAGATCAAAGTTGAAAGGATAAGGAAAAAAATAGGTTGTTGGTAGAAAAATATTAGTAAATGCCAAACACCTTAGACACAAATCGATAGCACAAACATCTTCGCCACAACTAGTTAAAAACAAAGGCACTTCCTGGAATAGGGAAAATAAATTGAATGAACCATATCTTGAAAGCATAAGAGGATGGAATAAAATAAAAATAAGAAGATGATAGGAAAATACACATGCTTAACATAACTTAATAAATCTACTCCAATCTTTAGACACAAATAGGTAGCACAACCGAATTATAATCTCAAACTAAGTCATCCACCAAGGTAAATCAAAGAACTCGAATGAACCAGAGAATAAATGAAATGGTTAAGTTTAACATGATAAGAAAAAAAATAGAGAAATAAAATAAAATAAAATAACTAATTTATTGCACAACACCTTACCCACAAATAAATAGCACAATCGAATTCAAATCAAAGCCCCGTACTAAGTGACCTCCAAGGAAGGCAAATAAATTAGTTAAACCATATGGACAACACAGAAGAATAGAACAAAGGACTAATGTTAACATGGTAAGGAAAAATGTATTGGTAGAAAAAAAACTAATGTTAACATGGTAAGGAAAAATGTATTGGTAGAAAAAATAGTACATAGAAAAGACTAACAAAAAAAAAAACANCCCTTACCCACAAAGGTTAACAATCAAATTCAAAAGTCAAACCAAGTCGTCCCGCAAGATAGGGCAACAAAATCCAATGGAAGATAGCACAGCACAGTAAAACAGAACAGAAATACAAGGTTAAAAAAGCAACAAAATAAATACATCATTGATAGGAATTAATTAGTACATGACAGAACTCAAAAAATCTTATCGAATGTTCAATCCATTAACCACAAAGAGGTAGCACAAGCAAATTCAAAGAGCAAATCAAGTCGTCCTGGGCAAGAAATTGCATGAACTATATTGGTAGCACAAGAGTATAGTACAAATCAAATTTTAAAAAAATTATAAAAGAAAAAAAATAGGGCTTTAGTAGGAAAACACTTATTGCATAAACAGTACTAAAAAAAATAAATGAATGTTCCACTCCGTAGTGACAAACAAGTACCAAAAATGAATTCAAAGCCCAAACCAAGTTGTTCCCAAGGTAGGCTGGAGAAATCAGATGAACCATATGGATTGCGTAGGAGAAGAGAACAAAATATCGTAGTTAAAACTTAAAAGGATAAGGGAAAAACATGTCATTAACAGGGAAACATAAGTACATAGAAAAAAACTAAGTATGGAAAAGGAATTCAAAGAAACCATATTAGGAGCACAAGACACTGAATATAAAGGGTCATCGCTAAAAAAATATGTACTAGTACATAGACGAAACTGAAAAATATAATTGTATGTTCAACCCCTTAGCTGCAAATACATAGCACAATAGAATTTAAAACCCCAACCAAGCCGTCCCTCAAGGTAGGGCAAGTAAATTGAATGGCCCGTAGTAATAGCACAAGAGAATAGAACAAAAAAATAATGTTAAATAAATACAGAAATAAAGTTATCAATTGTAGGAAAACATTAGTATATAATAATACTTAAAAATCAAAACGAATATTCAATCCCTTGGCCACAAATAGGCAGGACATCCATATTCAAGGCCCAAACCAAATAGTCCCCACGGTGTGGCAAGAAAGTGAATGAACTATATTGGTAAACTCGTAAACACAAGAGAGTAGTACAAAGAATCAAAATTAAAAGTATAAAGAAAAACATGAACTTAGTTGGAAAATATTAGTATATAGACAAATCTAATGAAAAAACCAAATTGAATGTCCAACTCTTTAGCCACAAATAAGTAGTACAACCAAACATCAGTGCCAGGACCATGTCGCCCCCAAGGTATGACAAAGAAATCGGATTAACCATATTGATAGCATAGGAGTCTGAACAAAAAAATCAAAGTTAAAAGGACAAGAGAAATAAATCACTAACATGGAAACATTTGTACATATAAAAAACTAAATCTAATCGAACACAGCCTCTCTCCCACCCCCAAATAAATCATAAGTAGCACAATAAAGTCAACAACAAAACCCTATCGATCCCATAGTATCACAAAGGAATCCAAGAAACCATATTAAGAGCACCAAGAGAATGAAAAATAAGATTAAGATTTAAGGTTGCAAGTTATCCAAAATAAAAATATTTTATAGTTTATTAGAACTTTATAATCTCTGATCAGTGGCTCACAACATCTAATTTAGGCCCCAAAAGTGAGTATCATGCCAATGTATTACCCAAAAATCAAAGATGGCAAGCCGTTTTAGAACAAAAAATATTGCTCAGGAAAAAAAATAGAACATAGACAACGAGAAAAAAAACATCGAATGTCTAAGACCCAACCAAGTCGTCCCCAAGGTAGGGAAAAGAAATAGGATAGACCGTATTGATAGCACAAGAAAATAGAACAAAACATAAAGAATAAGGTATTGATAGCACCAGAAAATAAAACAAAAAATCAATGTAAGGAAATAAACAGATCATTGGTAGGAAAATATTTGTATAAAAGGAACACTTAAAAATCTTACAGAATGTCCAATCTCATCTCTTAGCTACAAGTAGCACAACAAAAATCCCAAACCAAATCGTAGATGCACTGTAACGAGTAGTACAAAAGATCAAAATTAAAAACTTGACAAAAAAACATAATCTTAGTTGGAAAATATTAGTACACAGACAAACCTAATAGAAATATATTTGAATGTCAACTCGTTGGCCACAAATACGTAGCACAACCTAATTCAAAGTCCAAACCAAGTCTGGGGAAAAGAAACCAGATTAACCACATTGATACCAAACAAAAGATGAAAGTCGAAAGGAAAAAAAAAAATGATTCATAAATAATGAAATATTAGTAAATAGACAAAAGAAAAATCTGATGAAACGCCAAGTTGATGGAGGGAAACTTTCTATCAAAAGAATTAAGTGGAAATTTAACAGTTGAGATAATTCAAAAGTAAATAGTATGAAACTAGATGATGTAATTTATAATCGAAACAATAACCCCAGTATGAAAGAGTTCTGCGATTGTCAAAAAACTGACGCACAACAAGGTTTAGCTGGTGATAATTGAGGCAGCAAACAATATACCACACTCATAAACACTAGGCCTCACTCAGATAAAACATTAAGGCATCAAATTTTCCCAGATCAAATAATTGTACAACATGAAGAACTTACAAATAACATAAGCAATAAACAATGCGAAAAAAAGGCAATTAACTCAAAATCACCTACGACTAATTTAAAAGAACAAGAAGAAGAATAAGTAACCTGACTTGAATTGAATTCAAAAGACTTTAAACGCTATTGAAATCTTCCTGCATTCTTCAATCGATATTTTGACCCGTAACTTTCTTTTCCCAGAAGACCCAGAATCTTGACAATACAAAACGAAACGGGGCTACCGATAGAAAGACTTCAAACGCCCAACGCCACAAGTACACAACAAACAACTTACCTTCTTCCTCTGAGTCAAATTTCTTGCCGACCTTCGCCTGCTGGTAGTGCAAGGCGATCAGATATCTGTCGGCCTGAATCCCGAATGGTGTTCGACAGCGACCCCGGCGTTGAAGATATCGTCGAACCGCGCGCGTCTTTGTTCGTGCTGATGCAGATCTGACTTGCGCGCCCCGTACTTCCAAAATGTGCCGTGCATCTTCTCGCTCGTTATGTTGACGACAGGTTGGGAGCGTAGAGTACGTGGTTGACCTCCGGCAGGAAGCGAGTGATTGTATAGCGGAGACAGTGCGGCCAGAGAGGTGAATTTGAGAGGTTTTCTGAACTTTGGGTTGGTAATTTGGTTTTGACGCAAACTGATTAGGGATCTTTCCTTAAAACGATTGTTGCTCATCTATTTTCCTTGATCATCCTCTCACTTCATTTATTACGCAACGGAAAAAAAATCTTTCCTTAAACTACATACCACGGAAAAAGGAGTATAGTATTATTTTTTTTATTTTTCTTCTTTTTGCCAAACAAGAATAGTATTGTTACGTCATAAAAAAACTCAATCGCTATTCACCGCCCCCCTTTTACTAGTCACCGCCCCCCCCCAATTACTCTTTTGCCCTTAACCCTTTTTTTGATTTCATCTCTCTAAACTTTCTATCTCTCTAAACTTCCGAACTTCAACGAACGATTCGAGCATAAAAAAAATCCAAAAAAATGTCGAAAAAATTCTACGGCCTCGGCAAAGAATTCTTCTCCAACAAGGTAATTTTTTTTTTTTTTT